AAGAACACTAATATTGATTATAAACGTTAAATATTCGTAATCATTATAATGATCTTAAAAATAAGGTAAGGTTGGATTATCAAATATTCAAAAATTAAAATGCATCACTAACATTAATTATAAACATCAAATATTCGTAATCATCATAATAATCTTAAAAATAAGGTAAGGTTGGGTTGTAACCCTATTTTTCGGTTAGTAACAGCCTAAACCCACCACTAACCGATAGTGTTCTCTTTGAGTTTTCCCTTTTAACCTTGGTTTTTAAAACGAGTATGCTAAAAAGAAGATTTCACACTCATATAAAGAATATTTGTTCTCCTCCCTCAACTGAAGTGGTATCTCACAGTGTGTGTCTAGTTGACCTAATAAAAAAATGTTAACCCGCAAAGGGTCGGTCGAGCTAACCCAATAAAAAATAAATCAAAAAAGTAAACAAATATTAAACAAAAATAAATAAAACGCTATAAAATGTTTTCATAATATAAGCTATAGTTTCCTACTCTATTATAGCATCCATTATAGCTATAAAAAAACGAAGTCTCAACCTTTTAATAACCTGGACTGTCACGACATACGAAAAGCGCTATAAAATATTTTCATAGCAACATATATAAGCTATAGTTTCCTATTTTATTATAGCATCCATTACCGCTATTAAAAAAAAAAAAAAAAAGTCTCAGACTTTGAATAACATGGACGGTCGAAAAACGCTATAATACGTTTTCATAGCAACATATAGAATATATAGTTTCCTACTCTTTATAGCATCAATTATAGCTATGAAAAAAAATAAAGTCTCAAACTTTTAATAACATAGGCTGTCACGACATACAAAATACGCTATAAAATGTTCAATAGTAACATATATAAGATATAGTTTCCTACTCTATTATAGCATCCAGTATAGTTATAAAAAAAACAAAGTCTCAGACTTTTAATAACATAGGCGGTCACGACATGTGAAAAACGCTATAAAATGTTTTCATAGCAACATATATAAACTATAGTTTCCTACTCTATTATAGCATCCATTACAGCTAGAAAAAAAAATAGAGTCTCAAACTTTTAATAACATAGGTAGTCATGACATACGAAAAACGCTATAAAATGTTTTCGTAGAAACATATATAAACTATAATTTCTTACTCTATCATAGCATCCATTACCGCTATAAAAAAACAAAGTCTCATACTTTTAATAACATGGGCTGTCACGACATACAAAAAAAAAAAAGCTATAAAACGTTTTCATAATATATAACCTATAGTTTCCTACTCTATTATAGCATCCATTACAGCTATAAAAAAAAACAAAAAAACAAAATCTCAGACTTTTAATAACATGGGCTGTCACACAAACATACAAAAAAAACGTTATAAAACATTTTCATAGCAACATACAGAAGCTATAATTTTCTACTCTACTATAGCATCTATTATAGCTATAAAAAAGAGCCCTATAAAAAAATCTCAAACTTTGAACAACGTAGACTATCACAACATACGAAAAACGCTATAAAAAATCTACAATAGCGTGTTTTAAACACATCTTTCTAACATTAACCAAATTCCCACCAGCTCAAAAACTCAAATTGAATAGCATTGTTACCTGAAAGGAAGACAAGCTCTCCTTATAGAACTCTTCAACATTATCCATAGAATACTTCTCAGAAAATCTGTTGCAAATCTTGGCATCAATCAAGCAGCTCTTAATTGTGCTCCAATTGTCCTTAGAACTCACCCTATTCTGCAGCCAATCAGAGTAATCCCCAAGCCTATACTCCTTATACCCCCGGTGCGACAAGGCCTCGCCGGCGCCCTTATTGGTGACCACAAAAGCAAAGATAGTGAAAGCAAAGAGCACAGCAATAAGAACAAACATGACCAAAAGGTATAGCCATAGAAGCCAAGAGATTCTACACCACGCGCCGCAAACGCCGGCGAGTGATATGAACATTAGAAAAACGCCGATTATGATTACGGGTTTGTCTAAGTACTTGGCGCATTCGGTGGTGGCTTGTGTGCTCAGCCAAATGCCGACCAGCAGAATTGGGATTGAGAGTAAGAAGGTGATGAAGTTCAGGACTCCGACCAGGCTGTTGCTTATTCGAGGCATTGTCCAGAAGAGGTGTTTCTGAGTGTTGAATGGACTGAATTTGAGCGAGTATATAATGACAGCTTCTCACGCGCTTCGGAATTTGGATACTCGCTGTGAATGAGTGCCACGTGTTACAATTCTGTTTTTTTTTTATTTTCGGGGCTTTTAAGGAAGGTTTGACATTCTCCTCTCAACTTTTAAATTAAAGTTATTTAATTCCTTAACTGATAAGCATCTGTTACGGTTAAAAAGATATTTACTATACAATATCTTTTCATTTATTATTATTTCTATATCTTTATAATTTATTTTATTATATAAATAGAGAACTTTCATACATAATTTGAGTAATCTAGTCATTTGGACCTAATTGTCATGAATTTGCTACATCATACGGAACGATTGTGAGGAGTACGTTAGGCAAAACCCTTTCTCCCTTTATCTGAATGTGAGTAAATATATCATATTGATTGCTCAACTACACGACTTTACAAGCCTTCCTTTTTTACCAGAGCTTCGTGGGTATTTTTCCTGTAGTTATCAGGTGGTTCTTGTCAAATTCGATTGGGTGTTCAACCTATAAATCTGCTATCGTGAAGCAAGGAGCTGAGTCTAAACTCATTAATCTTCAAATGAACAGTGCTTTACGAGCTGAGTCTAAACTCATTAATCTTCAAATGAACAGAGACTAAATTTATAATTTAATTTTTTTTTAATTTGGTAGATTTGTTAATAAAATGAAATGTTTGTTTTGAAGAGAAGGATAAACACATTAATCTTCAAATGCTCATGGATATATCTTTTTAGGTAATTTACTTGTAACAACTTGATTTTTTTTAAAGACTAAATTGATATTGAAGAGATTTTACACAAGTTTTATGAAGGGAGTCGGAGTTGATTCGAACTGGAAAGTGGCATATTCTGTAAACGTCAAGAATCTAAAAAAAATTTGTAAGTTTTTAGCCGTTGACAATCTTACTCAATTATTTTTTTGTTGTGTTTGACTAAAAGTTCTAAGAAAAATATCTTACCAAAGATGGGTTAAAAGTCTACCATTTTATTTAAGAAACTAAGTTAATTCGAGTTGTGCTAGAAAGTTATGAAAAAAAAAATCGAAAACTGATTTTGGAAATCTAGAAATTTTGATGGAAGAGTCGAATGCGCGAATGACAACACGTGAGAGAGAGATTTTATGAATTTTGGAACTCCTAACACATAAAGAATCTAGCTCGAGAAGGCGCACGTCATCCAAGTAAGTAACCATATATAACTTTAGGCAAGTAATAATTGTAAGGATGGGTAAGGATGTGCTAGCATGCGTGGATTCCTTACTTTAGGTGGTTAGAAAAGACATGTTAAGGACTTCAGAAGGGCGTTTTTGGATGAATATGTATAGTATGTATGTTATGATAAAATGACCGCCATGCCCTTAGGTTGAGATTTTCGATAAACATGTTTTATGTATTATGCTAAGCTAGAAAGAGAATATGCATGACCAAAGTACGAGTTGGTCAATGTGGTTGAGTATGTTATGCATGATGTAAGAAATTGTCAATGTTGTTGAGTTGGTCAATGAGCTATTGTGATTCTGTGCTTTGGATGATTGATGGATGCTATTTCCCCATTGAGCTAAGCTTTTTTACTTATGAGTGTGCATGATACAGTATGTGTTAGCTCCATGTGTTCGACTATGTGTTCTCTTTGTGGAGCTTGTTTATCTGCACAAAGCTAGGGCATTAGAATTAGGTTGGCTAAACAATGACCTAGGTCAAGATGCCTCTAGTAGACTAAGCACCTTAGAATCATGAGCGACAATCAAAGGGTCTAGACCCTAGTGCTTCCAGGCTAAGACAGACTCAATGAGTCAAAACAGAGCAACCTGGAGCCAGAAGACCGCATTAAGCCACCTAATTACCCTAGGAATCCAATAAATCTCACCTAAGGTCCAACGGAGCCACAAAACTGAGCGAAAAATATATGTTGAGCTTGAATTCTCCTTAAGACTGGTTGTGAGCATGTCAAGATCATGACGCTGCATGGTTGAAAAAGTACGACCATGACACAGCACACGTGCCATTTGTCCCTCAGTCGCAACTCATCCCCGGCTTGCTCCAATGTGCGGCTTCTGTTTTGGCTAATCTAGCATGTTTGGATTGGCTTCGACCTACTTGTAATCTTGAAACTTATTCCTAACATTTTGGATTGTCTCAAAACTAGTCAATTTAAGTTTTTTTTTTTTTTTAAGCTAAAAATCCATTTAGTTGATAGCATGAGATGAATTAAATAGTATATTATGCTCTAATTCAATGTCGTGGGTCGACATAGGATTGAATCAAATTTTGAGAAATAGATAGGGGCCAACTCTAGGAATATTTAAGCAACCAAGTAAGTAGTTTTACAAGACGAATATTATGACGTATGATGTTGATATAGTGACTCTGTTTCAAATAGAAAATTTTGACTCCCTTTCAAATCCCAACCAACATGGAAATTCGTTAGGTAACTCCTAATGTAACAGCCCAAGCCCATACCGGTGAGCAGGCATGGGCTGTTGCACCTAATTTCAAGGCAGGAATATCAAGACCAAATAAACGGATCGCAATTCACATTTGTTCAAATTCTACCAAAAGCCATTTTCTATAACAACAATTATTAATAGGTAAAGCAGCCATACAAGACCTGGTTATGCAAGCTAAGGATTTGGTCAACTAAGTGATGCTGCCACAATAAGATATGCAATGAATCCTCAACATCTTTTGGCACTTCATTTGTCGCCCCATCTAACGAAACTCTGTCCAGTTTAGAGCCATGGTTGCTTTCATCCGTTCTCAACTAAAATCACAAGAACCATTTTCAGAAACCAACAATAAAATGGTGCAGAGTTAGATGGGATGAAGAACGGAAGTCAAATGATGAGAATAATGCATTGGATCAATTCACCCTTGTCCACAATCAACAATTGAGAGTTATAACTACTCCAGAAGACTTGAAAGAAAAATGCTATCCTTTATTATTTTTTGAGATGCGAGGAAAAATTATGGAACTCGGAAAGTTTCTTCATAGAACTTTGGAACAAACATAAATTCACAATCTGTGCTTTCCAGGTGATGAACATTCCTTCAAAGAGGGCCAGGGAATGTGCCGTTCTCTCTTTGCTCGTTCCATTTTTCGACCTGCAGAAAAGATGCGGTTATTCACATGCATGTAATGAGTGGAAGAAACTCGTTTATTAGGTTTCATCCCATTTGAGCAGGACGTCCCAATTAAGCATACCAATAAGCTGTTCATAATCAATTTTTGTACTTTTCTGAATTGATTTATACAATTTATAGTAGAAGCAAGGTAATAAAATGCTAAAACGAGAAGGATTTATTGTATAAACAACAACTATAATAATTATAATAGTAATAATAGTAACTGTATTTGTATGATCTAAAAGAAATACAGATGATATTCCCATTTCTTATGGAGTAACCATGGCTGATAGACACTCCATAAGTCATAGAATTATGGTGCAGATATGCATGAGCATGGTGTCAAGGTCATGCTCGTCCAAGGAGTGTTGCCCATGGCTACATACCATGCCATGCTAAACCCTTTTAACTTATTTTATGTTGTATTGCCTTACTATTATATTTTTTTTGGTTGTATGACCATTCGACGAAATCATGTCTAGGCCAGCTAGACCTAAATCGCCCTATTGGGGGTGTGACTAGTTGTCTAACTCCTCCCCTGATTTTGTATGACCATTTGGCGAAATCATGTCTATACCAGCTAGACCCTGAACCGCCCTATCGGGGGTGTGACTAGTTGTCTAACTCCTCCCCTGATTTTGTATGACCATTTGGCAAAATCACGTCTAGGTCTGTCACACCTGAATCGCCTCAAAATGTACTATAGGGGGGGATGCAACTAATTGTCAAATTCTCCCTACCCGAAAAAGTTATATGCTACTTATGTTGTTGTGTTGTCTTTTGCTTGTATGCCATATAACATTGCTTTCAATTTCTCTCAATTTTGCTTTCAAACTCTCTTTCAAAATCTCCCCGCCCCGTTTTCTAAAACCTTCTTCTCAAATCAGGGTGAGAGGCTTGAGAATACGTTGTCTGGCCATAGGCACCGCGAATATAGGTTGGTTTGACTCATTTGCTACTGAGAAGTGAGTGCCGCACAATCAACTGCCAAGAAAAGTGCGATTGTGAAACGTGACACCTATAACAAAAAGTATAACCCCATCTACAAAAGTTTGGATGGTTCCTAAATATCTAATCTGTCCCTTTTTTTTTTTTTTTTTATGGTTGTCCCTAGACTTCTAAAATTTCAAGTTTAATATTTCAACTTTCACTAAAATTTATATATGTTAGTGCCTAAACTGATAGAAACCTAAGAACTGAAATGATATTGAAAGACAAAAGATAAAAGAACTACAATTAACTCCCAAATAATTCAAGATATTTGGACCATCCCCTCTTTGAGCTCACCCACTCAAGCCCGAACCAACTAAACTATTGCCCATCTCCATCTCCTCTCACTCCCTATATTTATAACCAGGTTCGATGCTGATGCCTAATACACTCTTAATACCCTACTAATATTTCTAACTTCTACCCTAATCACATTTCTATCAACCACCAATGTTCCTTTCACTCTCATACTGTTTTTAAGAAATTACAGTTCATCCAAGCAAAAGATTTCCACATAAATTCCCATTTTTCCACGTCTTGCCAATCATGACATTTCATTATGTTTTCCTTGGGTATTTATCTCTTTCTGTAACCACAACATGGATATGTCCTTCATAATTTCTACGGCTCATCAGACACTCAGCAATATGATAGCTCTAGGACTTCAGCAGTATGATATAGTCGTCCAACCATTCCAAGATTGTAACAGCCCAAGCCCACAAACCCACCGCTAGCAGATATTGTACTTTTTGGACTTTACCTTTCGGGTTTCCCCTCAAAGTTTTTAAAACGCGTCTCCTAGAGGTTTCCACACCCTCATAAAGAATGTTTTATTCTCTTCCCCAACCGATGTGGGATCTTAGAATCCACCCCCATTTGGAACCTAGCGTCCTCGCTGACACATCTCTCCAATCGATGTGGGATCTCACAAAGATTTTCAACTCGCCTAGCAGAAAATCAAATTTATGTCTTCCCACTTCCTCTGGGCAAAACTTCCTTTAAAGTCCAACTTGAAATCCAATCTGAATTTCTAACTTTAGATCCTACAAGCACACACTGTAGATGTAAACATTTTCCTATATTGATTATACTGATCAACCATCTAGAACCTATGTTACATAAGAAACTACACGTGCGTGCAGAAGAGGAAATGTCACCTAGAGAGAGCTCCATTTTCATTTTCACAAGGGAGCTTCTTAGGAGTGCTCTTGTTCATAAAGGTTTAAATAATATTTTGTTAGTCCCTGCATTTAATATTCTCCCAATTTCAAGACTAATAGTTAATACCCAAGACTCACTAATAGTTAATAAAGTTTATGCCTCATAAGTGAGGAAAAATATCAATCCTAACTTCGCAATTGGTTAATAATATAACATTTCAAACATTATTATAAACATTTAATCTGATGCCACAGGGCGCAAAGATAAATCATAAATGTACTGTAGATTATAGAATTAAAAATCATATGCATGTAAAAGATAAACGAATTTCAAAGCGAAAATAACTTCAGCAGCTGATTATATTATAAACATTTAATCTGATGCCACAGGGCGCAAAGAAATCAAAAGAAGACTTCCCCTGGATCAGAGAATATTTTCTGATTGGAACATAGAATCTAATCTAGAGCGTAACAAACTTGAGCAAGGAAAAATAGGATCAGACAAATTCTAATTACTTTAAAAACACTAAGTGCAACAAAGAACTCACCCATTCACCAGGGCAAAGGGCACGATAATACTTTGCAAATCTCTCACATTCACCAGATTCCTCACCCTTTGCTGCCAGGCACCTGTAGAAAGTTTTGCACATTTAAGGGGAAAACTAACGATCAGAACAGAGAAGACTATAGCGTTGTAGACCCTTTCATTTTTCCATTTTAACTCTCATCTCAAGTTGTAAGAAAAATGCACCTGTGGAACTCAATGTAACGAGTGAAACAGTGCCTGGTTTGATTTGTAGTAGGGAATCGGAAGTCAGCAGGTGCTGTTTTCAGCTCAATCTGGGACGACAAACAAGAAGACATAGAACTAATAAAAATATAGAATAGACATCGAAGAGCATCATCTTCTTGAAGGATTACCGCTTGCCTTATAAATACTCAATATATCTGTTTGCCAGTGCGACAAAAAGATACACATCACTAAAGTTTCATCCAGTCAGATATGAGTAGTTTGTAATCATTTTCCTGATAACATTTTTCCAACATTGCAACATTTTACTAATTATTTTGTGTCCTACACGCCAACTCTGGCATACAACAAGATGCAAACTGACACCCCTAGGTTACAATCTTCAATTATTGACAACAGTAAGAAACATTATCTACAATATGTTCGCAATGTCAAGTATGAAGAACGGATAGGTACAATATATACATGAAAAACGGATTTTTTTTTTTTTTTTTTTTTTAAATTTAAACATTTGTTTCATGCATAAAATTATGCTAAATTGACACAGTTTGATGTGATTCTGATCTTTCATCTATTATTGCTTATTGGGAGTTCTGTTTACTATCCTTCTTGAATGGAGATGATGTCTCGTCCTTCCCATGTCTTATCTTCTACTATTCTAATAAAAAGATATTTCTGAAAGCATCAATTCTATATGCCATAGTGTGAAGTTTACTTAGGAAAGGGTCAAAGAATTTGTATTTGACACGATATACAGTGTTGAATCTCCTCTTCTCAGATATATATATTTTTTTTTTTCACAATATGTCAATAATCTTCAATCAAAAACATTTTAGTAGAATCCTTATTTTCTCGGAATATGTCAGTATTCATGATGTGAATCTTAATTTTGGTACTGATGGGAAAATTCAAAAAAGGGGATTTTCTAGTCTCTTCGTTTGTAAACAAGAAAATTCCTTCTCAAACTTCAATTCACAACTTTATGAGCGACATCAACAGAAAAAACATTCCTCTCCTCTGTTTTCCTGTTGTTTCATTCATTTCATAACCAATGTTTGTCATTCAAATTAAAATAGCCATTATTTTCCTTACATTTTTGCAGCTTCCAGCATCTTATTATGCCCAAAATTAACCTAAAGGTAACAGATCGAAGGTTAAGACTCCGGTCAACACATCCAACAAGCGTCGAAGAATTCCATGGCTCGTCGCACGCGGAACATAATCCCTCATCTAAATTCTAAAGAAATTCCAATCCTACAACTACGTTGGAAATTATGAACGGTGAAGCTGGTTTGTAGAATGCATTGAAAAAGAAATAAAGCAGAAACACTATTCCTCTAAACTTAATCCAGATCATGCGTATAATCCAAACCGAAAAAATAGTTAAACAAAAAAAAAAAACAGAGAACAAAACAAGCATTAACAGAAACATACTCCTTATACAGAAAACGATTATTGCACCCAAATCGAGGCCGTTAATGATTGGGAAAAGGAAATGATAAATACAGAATATGAAATGAAAAAAGAAAAAATTGATTCACTGCCATAGATTTTTCTTGAAACTAAACACATAAGAAGGCGAAACGAAGCTTACCTCGGCCATGACTGATTAGATTCAAGCTCCAAGAAATGGAGATCAAACGGAAGACTCTGTAATAACGTGGACGAAGACGCAGTTAAAGTTGAGCCAATAAGAAATCATATAAGAACTCGTAGAAGGGCCAAATCTATATGGGCCTTTGTTGGGCCATCCAAATTCAGCCCATTAATTTACTATTATTAAATGCTAAATTAATAAAAATATTTCGTTTTTTTTTTTTAAATATCTCTAAATTTTTAAAAAGTAAAAAAAAAATGCAACGGGATGGAAATATTAATATTTTGTTTTTAAAATATTCTTAAATTTTTAAATTATTTAAAAAATTATTCTTAAACAAGTTTCATTAATACTTTTAAAAAGAATTAAAATTTAAAAAATTTTAAATTTCTTTTAAAAAAAATTTTGACTCTCCACAATGGTATGATATTGTCCACTTTCAGCTCTCGAGAGTATTCTTTGATTATAAACCCATGATTATTCCCTAAATTAGCCGACGTGGGACTTTCATCATCCAACACCTCTCCTAAAACAAAGTACGTCTCCCCTTAATTGAGCTCGACTCCTTTTTCTTTTAGAGTCTTAGACTCCTTTTCTTTTGGAGTCCTTTGTTGGGTTGACTCCTTTTCTTTTACGAGGAGGGTTGACTCCTTTTCTTTTGGAGTCCTTTGTTGGGTTGACTCCTTTTCCGAAGAGGGTTGACTCCTTTTCTTTTGGAGTCCTTTGTTGGGTTGACTCCTTTTCCGAAGAGGGTTGACTCCTTTTCTTTTGGAGTCCTTTGTTGGGTTGACTCCTTTTCCGAAGAGGGTTGACTCCTTTTCTTTTGGAGTCCTTTGTTGGGTTGACTCCTTTTCTTTTCCGAGGAGGGTTGACTCCTTTTTTTTTTAGTCCTTTGTTGGGTTGACTCCTTTTCTTTTCCAATAAGGGTTGACCCCTTTTCTTTTGGAGTCCTTTATTGGGTTGACTCCTTTTCTTTTGGAGTCCTTTGTTGGGTTGACTCCTTTTCCGAAGAGGGTTGACTCCTTTTCTTTTGGAGTCCTTTGTTGGGTTGACTCCTTTTCTTTTCCGAGGAGGGTTGACTCCTTTTTTTTTTTTTAGTCTTTTGTTGGGTTGACTCCTTTTCTTTTCCAATGAGGGTTGACCCCTTTTCTTTTGGAGTCCTTTATTGGGTTGACTCCTTTTCCGAGGAGGGTTGACTCCTTACTCCTTTTCCGAGGCTCCAGGCTCCTTTTCTTGACTCCTTACTCTTGAACATGACTATCGTTAATACCAGATTTCAAAATATATGAGGTGTCAATAGACCATTTTTATTCATATATTGATGATTAAAAAAATTTTGAATTTTTTTTATAAAGGTAAAAGATGTTAATGTTATTTTTAAAATTTTATAGGTATTTTTTTAAACAGTAAATATATTTTTGAACTTTTTTTTAAAAAAGTTAAAAGGTATCCAATCATTCCATCTTAAATGATCTCGTTACTTCGGTACATAATTCAATCTTACACAAAATCATTGTCCGCAACACTTGCTTCAACGTCCTCCTCCCGTGCGAGACATAGTGCAGAAGTTGAACTCTTTAATATAAACCGTAATTTTACTTGTTAAATAGAAACCGAACGAGTAAGAACCGTACCTTGACAAAAATTACATCAAGGCTTGCCATGCATAATACTGAACATGTTACAGGGACAAACTTTGAACTAAACATCTCAACTATACTTTCAACAAACAAAATATTGCAGTTAATCATAACAAAGAAGTAGAAATCATGGCTTCTCACACACTTATCTCCGAGCAATGCTGTCGATAGGGGCAGCCATGCCCGCAACCGTTCCAGTGGTGACCGGGCCATTGTCAACGGGGTGAGGGATTTGACTGTCTCCTGAAGCCACAGAAGCCATTGCAACGTACGGCCTTCCGTACATATCGACATAGCCATTGGCACCGGTACGAGGTGGGTACGAAGGGTCCAAATTCACGTACGCACCACCGTATGCACTTGGTGCTACAGAAGCAGGATAGTTTCATTGCAAGTGACATAAGATATCCAAAGAAGGAAAGACAATGATGTGTATGCATATGTGAAAAGAAATGTACCATAAGCCCTTTTCTCCACATTCAAAACCTCGGCTCGCAACCTCTCTACTTCCCTTGCCAAGGCAATCAGATTCATTTCTGTTGCTTTCATTTGCTCTACTTGTTCTACGTTCATACCTTTTTCGTGCTCGAACGTGACTCTGCATACCGAATCGATAAGCATAAAAAGGAATCAACGATGTGAAGTTAACATTCATATCAGGACTCGGATATTTATAATGCCTTTCAAGAAAGAGAGAAGTAATGTTGCCACGGATTACATTGCACCGTTATGCTGTCAATCGACAAGTGACAATAATAACCTAGTATGTCCGAAGGAACACAGCAGATAATCTCGACTCTTACGCAGCATTACCAAGTATCGTTTTATACAGCAAGGCATATTTAGGGTAGGATTTTCTAAGTTTGTAGCAAAGAAATTTTGAATTGATTACCATAGCAATGGGGTCCATTTTTAAAGACTATAATGATAAGAGGGTTATCTAGCTAGCATGAATGAAGGTTAGGCAATATGGAGAGAAGGAGAGCATTGCCATAAGCCTTAATACTTGACCCTCGCTCGATGAACTACAAGACGACCCAAGTATTTCTGTGATGTCCCACATTGGTTGGGGAGGAGAACAAACCACCATTTATAAGGGTGTGAAAAACCTTCCCCTAGCAGACGCGTTTTAAAGCCTCGAGGGGAAGCCTGAAAGGGAAAGCCCAAAGAAAACAAATATCTGCTAGCGGTGCATCTGGGTCGTTACAAATGGTATCAGAGCCAGACACCGGACGATGTGCTAGCCTTCTCGCTGTTCCCCGAAGGGGGGTAGACATGAGGCGGTGTACCAGCGAGGACACTGGGCCCCAAAGGGGGGTGGATTGTGATGTCGCACATTGGTTGGAGAGGAGAACAAACCACCATTTATAAGAGTGTGGAAACCTTCTCCTAGCAGACGCGTTTTAAACCTTGAGGGGAAGCCCGAAAGGAAAAGCCCAAAGAGGACAATATCTGCTAGCAGTGGATCTGGGCCGTTACAATAATCTATTTCACCTCATAATTCTAAGTTTCAGCTATGTAGTTCTATAATAAATGCTGAAATTCAGAAACATTGTACAAGAAAAGCAGCAAAAGTCGAACGAAAACTCACCTTAACCTTTGGTGTTCTTTCCTCAAATCCTCAAGCTCAGCATGTAAATTGGGAAGATTATTAACATCAGACCCTGTTTTATGCAACTCCTGAGTTTCTTGTTGAATTTGGAAGGCCAATTCTTGTTTGTCTTTGACCAAGGCTTGAGCCTCCTTGTGTGCCTGTTGCAAGTCCTTCTTCAGCCCCTCTCCAGCTTCAATATTTGCTTCCATTTTCGCAATCTTATCCAACAGTACTCTCATCTGAATATCGCTTTCGGTCTGAATACTTCGGATATGTGCTCGTGCATTTTGTATTTCCTTCTCAGCAGCCACAAGCTCTTGCCTCAACGTGACATGAGCGGCTGCCAACTTACGATTTTCCCTTGCAAGTTTTTCTATGTCGGATGTCTGAACATCTAATTTATCCTCTAATAGTTCAAGAGACTTGTGACCCACAGCAGAATCCGATCCAGGAAACTGACCATGCCGCATCAACCCTGTAGCCTTAACAGGACGTCCATTGTATAGCGGTTGAAGTGTTCCTCTTGTGGACATTTATGATTTTCGTCCGACGCAGTTGTCAAACGCTGCAGATTCAAAAGAATATACACACTTTTATATACAGCTAGATGCTTGAACTAACAAAACATACAAAAAAACAGAATGCAATCAAATATGATTGCTACGACAAGAAACTTGTTTAAAATTCAAGTCTAAAGACAAATAAACAAATCCTAGTCCAACCAGACAAAGGAATAGTCCAAATTCCAAACGCACGATGGAGCCGAAAAAATATTAAAAAGAATATGTATGGCCAAAAAAAGAGACATTACAGATTCAAACCTCAAACAATTTCTCAATACCCCTAAACACCTTTAGAATTCAAGGACACAGTTGTACAACCTGCTCGAGATCTTGTTCAAATAACGTTGTAATACCCTTCAACGCCCTTAGAAACTCCTTTACCTTTACTTGACATTCCAAAGGACCGCCAAGAATCATGGTTTCTAGAGAAACCTTCCCTTGTTCTGAAAGAGAGTTAAAATAACTTCTTCCAAAAGATTCACTCTAGTTCGCGGCCACCTCAAGTAACTCGATCCAACAATCCTCCTAAAAAGGAACAACTCAGACAAAATATGATCTAAATTCTCAAAAGACTATTTATAGAGAAAAGGAATGATGAAAATTTCTCGATGAAGGGCAACGTGTAAATTCCATGGGGTACGAAACTAAGAAAGTCAACTCATATAACTCCCTTTCAACGAAGGGCTCTTTTGAGATGAAATTAAAAGACAGACTACTCAGAGGAAGAGTAGAGTAAGGAAATAATGGGAGAAGATCGTTTATTGCATTAGCGAGAGTAAAGCTGAGGTTAAAACGACTGAAGAGAACTACGACCAATCCAACCACTCGCTAAGGTGAGGTTAAAATGATGAAAAAGAACTACTACCAACCCAACCATCCACTTAAAAAAACATATCAAAGAGTATTTTCCAGCCAACAGTCATAACTACGAGCTATATTAGTATGCCACGGAGCGTCATTCTCGGAGGAGAAATATCTCAACCATTGGGTTAAGAGACCCAAACTTTAAGAAGCAAAACTCTCAATATACAGATACCACCCTCCTCACAAATTTTAGAGAATAACTCCCACTTAACCAATTGAGAAGAAAGAACTCCCATCTTCCCCCTACACCGTTCACAAAAAGTCGCTCGAGCTCTAACAATGACAAATATAAAAAAAAACAAAAGAGGAATGCCACTGAAAATGAATTAGATATGTATTGCTTTCATCCAAAACAGGTTGAATACCTTTTTTTCATTGAAATGGAAATATCTTACCTAAAACAATAAAGCCTGCTTACTCATATCCAAATAATGACTGCTTC